CCTGAGCGGAGGTCTCCAGGCGGTGTGGGGGGTCGATGGAGCGGCGTGCGGGCTGAGGCTCCTCTCCAGCGCGCCGGGCGAGCCGGTATCCGGGATGATCTCACCCATGCCGTCCGTGGTGGTGGCGAAGGTGCTGTCGAAGCCCTTGGTCGGGGAGGTAGGTCTGCCACGGCGTGTGGGGCTGGGGCTGCGTGAGCGGGTACGCATGAGACCCGGGCTGGGAGAGCGACCCATGCGGCTGATACCCAGGGTACGGCGCAGGGCGGAATGCAGGCTGCCCAGCTTGTACTCAGTGTCACGCTTCTGGGCTGTATGTGAGGAGGGGGAACAAAAGCAGTGTGTTAAAAACGTGCAAACCGACATAAGATGTGCCTGTTTTAGATTAAATACAGTCAAAATGCCCAAGAAGACCACTCAGAAGACCTCAAGGGAGAAATAAAATCTGTGATAACAGGATCCTAAATACTCGTGTAAGGATTATGTAAGGATTCGTTTACTTCCAAATGAATATAGGATCGTGTGAGATCAAAACGTCAAATCTCCCTACCCTCCAGACGGGACAGTTCGGCCTCCAGGCCGTTGACCCTGCCGTCAGCGGCGCTGAGTTTGAGGCTGAGGTCGGCGGCGTCGGCCTTGGTGTTCTCCAGCGCGATCTCCAGGTTACGCAGCTGGTCGTTCATCTTCCTCTCGTTAGCACGGCCCTCTTCAATGGTCGCCTGCCAGGGGGGGAGAGGAAGGAAGGAATGAGTGAGTGAGTGAAGGAATGAGTCATGTAAGCTCATTCATTTCCCATACTAGCCACACACTCTTGTATTAGCTAGGTCAGCCTTATGAAATTGTAGTTTTGTACATTTGTACCAGTAGATGACATATCCCTGTACAATTGTTGTGCAATAAAGTTATTTATTATGTACCAGTGTTGCAGCAGTAGGCTGTCCTTTTTTATGTTGTTTGCATGACAACTATCCCATCATTACAAGACTGTAAAGCAATCAGTCTTGGGCATGAATCATTTATGACAAAACATTTATGACAATATCTGTAAATAATTTCATCAACTTGGTGAATGATTGAAAAGCAGTTTTTTATTCACAACTAATGCAAAGTACAAAGAGCAAAACAAGCTGCCTTTCCTTTTCCATCTTTTGTTTCACAGAAATGGACGAAGAAATTAAGCAAGCACGTACGAGATAGTCCTTCTCCTTGAGTTTGCTGTCGTCGTCCAGCTCGGCCAGTTTCCTGCGCAGGTAGGCGATCTCCTTCTGTGCAGCCTCGCGGCTGGCCTCGGTCTCCATCACCTTCTGTTTGAGTCCGTACGACTCGCGGCGAGCCTCCTCCTCCTTCTCCTCATCCCGAGACACCCGGTTCTGCAGCTCCTCCACCTCCTTACTCTTCTTCTTGCTCTCGCTGTCCAGCATCTTCACCTGTCTGCGCAGCTCCTGCAGTTCCCGCCGGGCCTCCAGGCGGCTCTTCTCCACCTCCCGCAGGCTGTTACGCAGGTCCGAGTTCTCCTTGCCACCAGCATCCAGCTTCTCAGTCAGGACTACATGAAGAAACAAGGGCAAATTTGTCAATGAAACTTCTTTTACTGTCTTAGAAATCCTTGAAGCTGACAGATGCAAAGTGCATTGTAGTTTTAGCTACTATGTTATAAATACAAACACTTTCTGTAAGTGTCCCTAACAAAGTAGTCATCATTTTTTCCATTTACTAACAACTCATCTGTCCATGCTTCATTTCTTCCTTCCAATAACATGTTCTTTCTTAACTGATCAAGAGAAGTCAGCTCTTTTCCATCTATCAATCTGTCCATTCATCCTTCATTCATTCCTCATTCATCCTTTCTGATGTCCTTAAGACATCTTTTCCATCTATCTGCCAATTTGTCTATCCCTCCAACCTCTAATCCATCCCTCCATCCATCATTCCTTCCTTCTGATAATGTGTCCTTAACAGAGAAGTCATCTTTTTCCCATCCATCCAGTCTCTCATCCATCCACCCATCCATCCTTCCTTCCTTCCTTCCTTCCCCCCATCCTTACCCCCGATCCTCTGTTTGGCATCTCCCAGCTCCCTGCCCAGGTTGCTCTTCTCTCCCTCCGTCTTCTTGACCTTCTGCCTGAGCTCCTCGTTGGTCTTGCTGATGGCCTCCTTCTCACGGATCTCATCATTGTTCATGCGCTTCAGGTCGATGATGTCCTTACGCTTCAGTTCACGGTCCTCGTCACCTGATGGGGGGTGACAATGGACGAAGTTTAAGTTTATTGCAAACACATGCCCGAGGGCTAATTGCAGGTACAAACTACAATGGTTTGAGGGACTACATCTAACATTATATACATTCTACTGCATTCTACAACATACATGGTACTAGTTTTGCTGGGTTTGACTTCTTTTTTTAAGAAGATTGAAGACAAATTTTCTTCCTTTATATGTGGGTTCCTTGATTTTTAGTAAAGTGTTTCAGTACATGACATCAAACTTGGATAAAAATGGTTAAAACACACAAAAGCATCAACAAAGGGCATCTCACCTTCACGTATCCTGCGGTGAGCCTCGATGAGATCCCGCCGGACGCCGTCACGAGTCTCCTCCACCATCTTCAGCTGCGTCTTGAGTTCCGCCACCTCCTTGAGCGCCGCCTCCCGCTGCTTCCTGACCTCGGCGATCTGGCCGTTCAGGTCCTTAATCTCACGCTCGTGGGCATTGCTGAAACACAGAAACAACAACAAACTCAGCAAGATCCAAAGGACACATTGTCTGGAACAGACTACCACCAGACACACACATGGCCCCAACGTTGTCTTCCGTTAAAGGCATCTGCTGTAATTTCAGGGGGGGGGGACAGAAAAGCCTGATTTGAGCTTCTCATGAGTGAACAATGGTTCAAACAAACAAAAAAATTTTCTTGACAATAATCCCATTTCCCTTGTATGCTTCCTTGAATAGCAAGAAAAGCGATAATGTCCTTTCCATGGTTCATAAAACCTCTTTGATAACTGTAAGGGGTCAGTACAGCCAGAAGGCCACTTAGGAACTGATAAAATCTGGTCTTTCTGGACAGGTGATCACTGTATACTCAGGATTCTTAATGTTTCAGTGACAGCTCAATGGAAAAAATCATCTAAGGGATGTCCAAAAACCGTCACATCGACAGGTTGGTTCTTATGTAGAGGTTGTCACTTGTACAGGGTTGCCTGTAGCATAATATATAGTTTCTTCTGGAAAAGTAGAATCCTGGTTCAACTTGAAATACACTCACGTTGCCTCCTCGAACTGAGCCCTGAAGTTCTTGAGTTCCTGGTTGAGAGAGTTGATGGTGGTTTTGTCCTGCTCCTGTTTGCTGTAGGCGTCTCTCTTCATGCGTTCCATCTCCATGCTGGCGTTGGCGATGTCACGGTGGGCAGAGCCAAGCTTCTCCACCACAGTCTGTTTCTCCTGCTCCTTCAGGGAGAGGGCCTGGGAAAAAGAGGAGAAACTTGTGTTAAAACATTGCTCCTCTTACGACTACAAAGATTTGGCAACTAGAATTTGTCAATTACATCGGTAAGTTTTTAAAGGAATGACACAGCAATATCTCTAAATCTTTATTTTGTTGTGAGAATTTAGTCATCATTTAAAATTTTTCAAATGAATAACAAAGATGGCTGTAGATCTTTATAGTTTGTGATGTTAATTTAGTCTACTCATCATTTTGAATCTTTTTTTGTTTTTAAAGGAATTACAAGGAAATATCTCTAGATCTTTATTTTGTCCTAAAGACTATATTTTGGAGTGCAAACCCTTACAGTTATCATGTAAGAGTATATTTAGTAAACAAACCTGTTGTTTGTCGTTCTCTGCGAGCAGCAGACTCTCGTCCTTGTCCTGAGCCAGAGCCTCCAGCTCCTCCGCAAGTTCTTCCTTCTCCTTCTCAAACCTGGCCACCATGTCGTCCTGTCAATGTACAAAAAATGCTTTAGAATCAGAGATTTGATGCTCAACATGCCATTTGCAACTACATTGAACTTCAATTTAATTGAACTAATTTTGCAGATAGTCTATTTGGACTGGATAGTTTTAGTTGTAACACTAGATCACACAGGCTATGCTGGCTAGAACACTGGCTTTTCATTATCTTAATTATTATAATCATTATTACATGTACCAAGTGTTAAAGATTCGATAGAAAGACCCACAACAGACTGGCTGTTGCCGTAGGAAAAAAAGCCTCCCACCTTCTCCTGAGTGTTCTTGTGGATGATCTCCTCGCGTTCAGACTCCATGTCCAGCCGCTGGGTCTCCTTCTCCCTCATCAGCCTGTCCACGTCCTCCTCGTGCGACTGCTGGGCGTTCTTCAGCGCCAGCGAGCTGTCCCGCTCCTGCTGCGCCAGCTTCTGGTTCAGAGCCTCCTTGTCCCGCTCCAGCTTGGTGATCTCAATCTCCATCTCCTTACGCACGCGACCGATCTCAACTGGAGGGAGAGACAAATCAAAATGTCAGTAGGACTATTAACCAAACATTTGTTATTTTCATGTTTATCTTTGGTCATTATTTTTCTACAAACGTTACAGTAAACAAATAATACTTCAGACACTGAGTCTGTTTTATCTTAAGATGCAATGTGAAA